ATCAGTCCAGTTTCTGTGATATCTGGTGACTTCAATAACGATAAAAAGCAGGACATAGTGGCAGTCAACTACTTGGACGATACTGTGAGCGTGCTATTGGACAATGGGAATGGCAGCTTTTACACTCCTATAATATATAATGTTGGCAGTAGTCCGTCATGTGTCATCTCAGCTGATTTTAATGAAGATGGCAAAGTAGATTTGGCAGTGGTCAATAAATACTCTAACGATTTGACGATTTTACTGAATCAGTGCAAGTAACTACTTATCGATGCTACTATTTATGAACATGTAAACTGATTGTATTTGTGTGACTAAGAACAATTATGAACTCTAGTAGAATAATATAGTTATTACTTTCTTTTTAATCATATTATGCTGCAAAATTGTTTTTTTTTTAAATCCGTGTAAAAGAATTTCAGATTTTCTTTAACTAATTTACTCGTTATTGTTCTCTGTATCTCAGGTTTGTATTCAGTGTACATACCTCTGAGCCATTGTACGAGAGCCATGACCGAAATCCAATATAACTGATCTATCAATAATCTCAGATTTAGACGAAAACTATCCCATCTTGTAGAGCAAAATTGGTTTAGATATATAACCAAGTTTTTAGAGCTAAAGAATGGTTTTGGGCTGATTTTTAAAACTTTATTTATAATAAAAGTAAGTAGTCTTTTGTAATCAAATATAAAAATAAAAGCTTGTATTAGATGATTTACACTACTTGACAACAGTATTCCCCCTCGGATCTCCGTCACTACAAGAGCTGTGGCTCTAAAAACTTGGATATATATAGTTCTTGATCAATGTAGGTCAGCGGCGAAACCCGCACCCCTATCGCTTGAGTCAGAAGAACGTTAGAATGCATAGGATTGAATTCCATTGTGGATTTTATGACTCCAGAATAATAAAATCTTGTGAGCTGGGAAATACGTCATTTTGTAGCTCTATATAGTGGCTATCTTTTACAAAAATTTCATCGAAGTTCATTGTGTTATTGTGAAGTTAGGTTAATTTTACTGTAAGAATGGATCTGCTCAAAAACCGACCTGTCTCACTGTGTGACTTGTAATTCAGTGGAAGGTTGACAGATCAACTTGAAATTTTCAGGATTATATCATTTACTAGAGAGAAATGGCACTATATTCAAGTTTCAGATGTTGTCACAGGTATTGCTTCTCGAATGCTCAAGCAAATGAGCCCATCTTTTGGGCACATGACTAGCATGTAAAGAGGCACAGTTCTATCAAAAAAAGTTGTAAAAATTCATCAGGTAACATGGAAAGTAAGACATGAACTTTTATAGTCCATTTTTTCTCTTATTCTGATAAAACTGAGGAATATAGGGAGTGCAAATAAGGATTCGCATCCCTTTCATAATTACATACTCTTTCTTACTCTCGTTCCTATTTTCACGCTTACTCTGATTCATCATTGTCATGAAAACTGTTAGAGGACCCTTAACAAATTTGAATTTGATAGATAGATATCGTTTACTTCCTCTGTATGACCAAGACATTATCTCAGAGAAAGTTTTTGACACTGGTAAATACTACGATAAAAGGTCATCAAAATGAAGGGGAAACGGATTATTAAAGTTCATGTCTTACTTTCCATGATATTTGATGAATTTTTGTAACTGTTTTTGATAGAACTGTGCTTCTTTACATGCTAATCATGTGTTCGAAAGATAAGCTCATTTGCTTAAACATTCGAGTAGCAAGACCTGTGACAACATCTGAAACTTGAATATAGTGCCATTTCCAAGGGAGAAAAGGCAGATTTTCAGGATTTTGAATCCCAGTAAAAATCCGAGAAATCCTAAAAATCTTATGAGAATTCAAAAATATCATGAGAATCCCAAAAATCTCATAAAAATCCCATGTGAATCCCAGATTTAAGGTTGAAATGATTAGGATTTTATGATTGTTTTAAAAGACAACTATACAGGAATAAGTGCAATCTTGCGATTATTCGACTTTTATAAAAAATAGTGTTCATTCAATCTCCTCGTGTTTTAAAACTTATTGTTCTATAAAGACAGTATACAGAATAGTAGCACTATTCCATCAAAATGACATCTAATATAAGATATGTGCTTAGGCTATTGTTGATAAATAAAATTGAACGATTGATGAATATCTCTGTGTGTTCTATTATTCATCGAGGCTGTGGTACTGGAATAAAGACACTGGTAATGTTAATTCAACGACAAAGGTTAAAATATTAATGTTCTATACCACCAAGAGTGCTTGAGTGTTCTAGTTAGAAAATCAAGAAACGCCAATAATTACATTTTTCTTCAGATGTATCCTTAAAAAGAGGATATATTGAAGCTCATTCAAGTATCACATTATCGTCAATGAACATCTTCATATGTAAATAAATTATATTGAAGAAGCTGTTTATGACTTTATAAGACTTGAATTATTTTTAAAGAAATCTTTTTAAAAAAGCTAGAAAATTGTAGAACAACATCTGCAATATTTATATCTTCTTTTGAAAGTTTATAGTGGTTTATGTATGATATACAGAAATATAAGCTTTATTCCAATAGATGACATAAAATACATTCTACAGATATAATTTATGAAATCCAGAATGATAGTGACAATATTAGAATTACAAATCTAACCAGGTGGTTGTATCGAAAAATAATTCGTTATTTTTTTATGCTAATATAAGGTCTAGTGAGGCTACACTCAATTGCCAAGAAATTTTCAAAATAAGATCACTAAAAGAAACATCATTTGAAGGTCTGCAAACTTTAATGATATGATCAAAACACACACGAGCCGTTCGATATACTTTGACTCACTATGCAGATGTGTTCATGTTCAACATACGGAATGAATTGAGAATTTATCCAGGAGTAGCTGACCTCAATTTTCTCCAACGCCCATTTTCCCATCAATTCGTTTTCAGAGTGAGCTCGAAATATTTGAATAAAATTATTTTCTATCTCAATATTTTCAAAATTAAAATTATTTCAATGAGATGTTGATGATATTTCTCTTTATTCTGAATCTAATATTTATAAATGTCTCTTCAGAACCTTTCTTTTGACACTTCCATCTTACCGGCTGATACCCAAACAGACAAATATTTTCAAAAATGCATTTAAACGCATAAAGAGAACACTAAACGCAGTTGTCTTCTTCATAATCGTAATTCATCATCATGATTATGATAACAGCTAATGAAACTGAAAAAGACAACTGCGTCTAGTGTTCTCTTTATGCGTTTATACGCTGTTACAATCGTGTTCTCGCTGAAAACGTGTTTAAACGCACAAAGAGGGGAAAAAATGGGCATTTTTCGTTCACAGTCGGGGACCGCGACTGTGAGAAAAAACGTCTACTTTTTATATTTTAATAGCACTTTCTCATGCGTTCAAACGCATTTTTCAAAAAATATCTGTCTGCTTGAGTACACTTTCGTTTTGTGATGCAGATTTTTTACAAAGTGGTTGAAAAGTTGCTGGATCAACCGAAGCTAAATTGCCAGATGCTCGAGAAATTCGAAGCGTATATTCCTTTCTCAATATGGAACATGTATTTGCTATTCCTTCGATTTCATGCTCGGCCTTAAAGAATATTAAAAGACTTGTTTGCTTTGAAGCCGATGATCATAGTTACACAGTAAAAACAGGTTGTCATGGTAGTATTCGATACTTTTATCAACTTTTCTATCAAAAACACGAAGAACGTCGTAAAGAACATACATCAAAATGTAAATGATTAAAACCATCGCCATCCGTGAACAACAATCATGTTCTTCAAGATATTTTTCAAGATTTTCCTGAAATTGTCTTATTATCAACTGTTCCTGAAGCAAAAGGAGAAAAGGCGGATTTGCGAAATTGCCAATCCATGAAAAGTCCCAAAAAATCCAGGAAATCCCCAAATCCATGAGCAATGTCCCGTCATAAATAAAGGAATTTCGAGCTGACATTTTCATCATATGTAGACCTTGCAGTCCTTAAAATATCCTAAAAGTTTCATTGGAAACGGATGTTTCCTTTTCAAAATAATCAATTTCCAAGAAAAGTGGAATTTCTGACCGAGGTGTGAAATATGAGTATTTCTTGCGATCACATTATCTTCAGAAAAAAACATCGATTTGCGCTAAAACTTCTAGAATATTTTAAGAACCGCAAGGCCTACATCTGGCAAAAATTTCAGCTCGAAATTCCTCTAGTTGCAATAGGGCACTGGTGGTGGATTTTGGGATTATCAAAATCCAAAAAATCCAAAAAAATCCCAAAAAAATCCGGAAATCCAAAATCCGCCTTTTCCACCTTGACCATTTCTCTCTAATAAATGATATAATCCTGAAAATTTTTGAGAACAATAAGGACCTATGGCGCAGCTTTTCCTGAAAATTTCAAGTCGATCTGTCAACCTCTCACTGAATTACAAGTCACACAGTGAGACAGGTCGGTTTTTGAGCAGACCCATTCTTACAGTAAAATTAACCTAACTTCACAGTAACATAATGAACTTCGATGAAATTTTTGTAAAAGATAGCCACTATATAGGGCTACAAAATAACGTATTTTCCAGCTCACAAGATTTTGTTGCTCTGGAGTTATGAAGTCCACAATGGAATTCAATCCTATGCATTCTAACGTTCTTCTGACTCAAGCGATAGGGGTGCGGGTTTCGCCGCTGACCTATATTGATCAAGAACTATATATATCCAAGTTTTTAGAGCCACAGCTCTTGTAGTGGCTGAGATCCGATGGGGGATACTTTTGTCAAGTAGTGCATATTATACGATAGACGATCAAATTGATGAAAATAATTCTGCAGATACTTCTTTTTTAGCTCTTTTTCTTGATAATATTGTTAACAATTTATGTCGTTCAAAAAATCCATACCATTAAAATGGATCTGTGTCCTGATTCGCATTATCGTTAAATGTATTAAGTGGAAAAACAGGATGTGAATTTGTTCGAATGAACCTACCTGATTCTCTTCCAGCTTTATCAACTCTGCAAGGACTTCCTTTAAATAAAGAACTTCGAACAAACGAAGCTGAATTTCGTTTTGATTCGTTAGCAACACATATGAAGTCTGTGAAAACAAATATTGCATTCGCTGCAGAAGATTGTACATCAGTTATTAAGAAAATATCTTACGATACTCTTACGAATTCATTTGCGGGTTTTTCTGTACCTTTAAATGACAGAATACCTGCTACTTTACATTATCAAACAGATTCTTTTAGAAGGCTTCTTGAATGGTTTTCTCGTGAAGATTATTCGCCTTTGATTAATATCTATATGATTCAGCGCATCACTAATATGCAAGTGTCACCAAATTCATTTTTACTTTCCGCCTTTGGAGCTAATAATGAATATAAATCAATTGATATTATCCGTCGTTGAATATATAGATATATATATCCGAACAAAGTTTGTTAAAAAATGTTCATACTGTCGAATTATTCACTGTTAAAAATCCAGGATACTTGCGCGTAATGCGCCTTGTTATTGGTTTTCTTGGTATACTACCAAGCATTAAGTTAAACAGTTATGATGATGCATCTCATGTTCAAATTCAAAAGGAGTGGAATTGATATTTTCTTAATGATAGTCAACGACTTTTATGCTTTCAAGATGCCACGCATCTTTGTACAAAATTACGTAACCGGCTATTATTACGGAAAGCTAATATATTAATTGGGAATAGTTACATTTTTATTGATTATCTCTCAAAATTAATTAAAAATGTTCCAAAATCGCGACACGGTTTAATAAAATCTGACATTTTCCCACAGGATCGCCAAAATTTCAGTTCTTGTGTTAAGATATGTAGTGATGATGTAATTAATAATTTAATTAATGTTCCTAATTCTGAGGGTATAGTATTGTATCTTCGCTCTCTTTGTTCTATTATAATTACATACAATGACAAAGAAACAAGTTCAATTCATCGAATTTATCATGCATGGTCTTTCAGCTTTTGTTAGTCGCTGGTGGTACACTTGGATTGCTAACATGCGAAAAGTAGATTTGGACTCTACTTTATATGAAGTTAATGGAATTAAAAATAATCGAAAAAATAAAAAAAATACATCAGTTCTTTATTACTAATAATGCCTATTACTGTACTGAAATTAATGATCGTCAACTTATGTGTCTTGCTTATTAGTAACAAAAAAAAGTTACTAACAGAAGCAGTGAACATTTAGTTATTTAGTTCTCAAATCTGTAAGGGTGTGTTTCGCTCTCTACGGTCCCTGCCAGGAACATTTTTGTCAACTGTAAATTTTACCGTACAAGAATTTCTTAACATGCACAGAAACTTTCTCTCTTAAATAAAATCAAAACTGAAAGTGAATTTTTCTCAATGAATGGTATTCTTGCTTTTCCAACCCATTATAAACAAGGAAAAGAATTTTAAAAAAACTTATAATATAATTTCAAGTCATGATACATTCAATGTAGAAATAATTACAAATACAGTTCTACACATATTTAATGATGCTACTAATTTAATATGGGGTTTTAAAATTCAAAATCTTCTTGATGAAAAGAAGATTACAAATAAGAAACAATTTAACAACTATATTCACAACATTCTGATACAAAGAATAAATTCAATGAATTATTCGGACTTGTACGAAGAAAAAGATGAACTAGATATTGTTCTCGATTCATAACCTGATGTTGAAAGTGAAAATCAACAATATGAAATATCAGCCATCTTGTCAAATGCAATGCTAATAGTTTAGATAGAATTAAGTTCTTTGGAATGCGAGTATTCGACAGAGTTCAACCCGAATTAAGAAAATATTTTTTTTTCAGGTTGAAATAGGTGATGAAAGAAAATTTGTTCACAAGCAAACTGCTTCTTAGGTTTTCAATGAAACCAAGCCAGTCTTGTCAAACGATTGTCTCACTCGTGTTATGCAAAAATAGGACATAATGAAGAAATGATTGGTTAGAAATTTTTGTTATTTGTTTTTTGTCAAAGGTCATTTTTAGTGTACTCAAAAAGTGAGTACACTACTAAAATCGGCCTGTGTGTCCGTCCGGCCGGCCGTTTACAAGATAACTTTCGAAACGAGAGTCAGATTGCGATGAAATTTTCTACACAGCTTAGTCTTGACAATATCTCGGTCGAGTTCGAAGATGAGAAGGATCCGTCAAGAAATGGCTGAGTTATCGAAAAAATTGTGATTTTTGACCAGACCATCCCTGAGGGGGGGGGGTACGGGGATTTTTCGAAAAAACATTTTTTGCTCATAATTATTCACAAAATATATAAATCGACTCAGTTTTTAACGCTGATTCTGAATCTGATATTAGTTTTGAACTGAATCATAGTTTTGTGTACTCAAAAAGTAAGCACACTATAGAATAGTCAGTGTGTCCGTCCGTCCGGTTGGCTGTTTACATGATAACTTTTGACAGCAGAGCCAGATTGCGATGAAACTTTCTATATAGTTTAGTCTTGACAATATCTCGGTCGAGTTCGAAGATGAGAAGGATCGGCCGAGTCGTTCCTGAGTTATTGCAAAAATACCCATTTTTCCCTATAGCTTTCTGTGGAAAAATGGACCCATCGCGACTTTCGTAAAAGACTTTTCCTATCATAGCCAATTAAAACCCCAACTATTATATACGATTCGATAGAGAATTTCAAGAACTACAAAATGATATATAAAACATAAAGAAACAAGAAGGTTGACTTACCTATGACAAGGATAATTAAAGAGAACTAGGTTATATTTTGGTCCACGATCTAATGGATCCACAAATAGAGCTTTATCTTCCGGTCACACTGATGATACTTCGAGGTTTTCAGATATGGAGAACTCGAATGTGTACTGCACTTCCATCGAAATACTATTAGTTGTGCAGTGACCAATAGAAATGAAGTTATAGGAAAAACGACTTTCTTCGGGTAAATCAAGGGAAAAAATTCAAACTTGAGCTGTATTCGGTCCCATGTCCTATTGGTTTGGCAACGCGCAATAGAAATCAACATTTTAAATGGTAGATTTCACACTATAATTTTGATATTCAGACAGTCTAGGATGATTGATTTGTATGATTCACTTTTTGAAGTACACATAACTCTCGGATTTAAATCCGAAGTTTCCGCATTTATTTTATTATATTTCTGAAAAAAAAAACTTGATAATTTGACTTTTGCATATTGTATTGTAGGGATGAGAAGTTATTGTTATTCGGTTGTTATTAATAACAATAACAATAACTTTTTTGTTATTTGTTATTAATAACAAAAAAATAACAAATAACTTTTCTTTTGAAAAACTTTCAACTCGAATTGCTACCTATCTCAACTATACTATTTCTATTGGTCTATGTTTAAGGAATGAGTTTGCTACGGTTATGGCAATAGCCGATCTCAAAATTTCAGAATTCGCATAGATCATATACAAGGTGAGACAAAAGTGATACGATAAAAGTTTTTTCGATATTTTTCTTTAAATACCGGCAGTTATGTCTCATATTTGTACTGCATATACTAGAGGATACTAGTCGGAGCAGATTTGTAACCAGTTAGGTCGGTCCGAACAGGCTGAAGCGGTTGAACCAGCCGGTTTTTACAGGTTAAAATATTTTTTATGAATGTACAGATTTTTCAGATAAAACTTGTTGATAGCAAGTTTTTATGCCCTTATCAAAAAATCACCAACCTATTTTATTTCAAAAAACTACATTTTTTTCTTCTGTTCCTCAATCTATTTCATTTCTTTAATCCAAATACGCTTTATTTTCTAAAAAGCGCATTCGAAACTATATTAGTTCAGTTAAACTTATCTCATAGATTTTTTGTGAAGATAAAATTTAGGCTCGAGCCATCTTTGAGAGAGCAGCGTTACGCTATTGGTAAAGGTTAAGTGAATAAAATTCAAAATCTGGAATGTGGCAATCCGTTGATCTGTAAATGACACTTTTTTCGAGCTATATAGAAATATCTCAGGAATTTGCCTTTGAGAAACCAAACATATATGAAGAACTAGAACATGATATTCGTTCATGATGATCTGTAAAAATCGGAACGGAAAAGGTAAATGACTGTTTCTGAAATAATCCCTATTCGCGAATTAATAATGACGCAACAAGCGGACCATATTCTGCTTGTTTCCACCGGCCTAATAGATGTTTTGAACTAGCTGCTCACTAGCCGAACTGGATCAGTCTAAAATTTCGCCCGATGAACTGAATCAGGTCAACGATCTCGATTGGTCACAAGCCTAGTTTGTCTCCTAGTTTTCTTATTGGAAATCTTATAAGCGAATTGAGAACAAAGCTCGCTGCAATATGTGCTACAGAAAAGATAAGACTGATAAATAAGAAAGAGAACTAGAATCAGGTTTATTTTCGAGAAAATTGGTTAAACTAATTAATCGGATGTTTCCATTAAAAGCTGAGGACAAATTGTTGTTTTTTTATTTTCTATCAAATTTCAAGCAAAAAAGATCAATTTGATAAAAAAGTTCAGGGAAATCAATATTACCGGGAAAATCGAAAACATCATCGTTTTGTAGTTATCATGATAAGACTTTGTCCTCTAAACGTGTGAAACGTGTTTTTTTTAAAATTAACTTCTAGTTATACATTTAAATTATAAGAAAATACTAAACGAAAAAGTCTAAAACGTTCAAGAGTAGACCTTTTCGAATGAGTGATATTTTGATTTTTTTTATTACATTGATTATTTTCCTTTAAAATTGATAAAAATGTTACAAAAAATCAGTTGTTTTCTCCTGAATATAAGTCTATAAGCATTTAGAGTGAAAGTTCACTCCTAATATCACTTTTATCATATGAACAAACTTCATAAACTCACCGGTTTTTACCGGTCTGGAATTATTTTTTAGATCAGCCGATCACTGCTCGGACTCGATCGCTCTAAAATTTCTAGACAGGTTACAACTTTGAGTCAGAGACGTGTCATGTGATTAGCCTCTAAGCATAGCAACTGTTTCCAAACACATACGTGTATAAATTGCTCGTATGTGATTACATGAAAAATTTCATGTTTGTTGTGTTACCCATGTGAAAATTTTTACCATTGTAAGCTATTTTTAAGCAGCTTAAGTTAGCCTAAACCGCTTTAAGCAGCTGAAACGTGCTTGAGTTCTAATTTTTAAGCGCTTCCAAGCACTTGAAGTTCATTAAGCTGCTTAAAAGAGCTGAAATTCAAAAAAACCAAGCACTTTTAAGCACTTATCGCTTCGGTCGCTTATAAGCGCTGTAATTTCTTCCAATTTCAAGCTCTTACAAGCACTTACCTTCTCAATCGCTTATAAGCGCTGTAACTTGTTCCAAATTCAAGCACCGTTAAGCGCTGACGATCTCTGATACTTAGATGTTGAATTTTCAATATTCTCCATAAAGATATTTAC